CACCATGGAGGCTCAGATGTCTGACATGCACTTGCCAGCGTGGCCTGTCCTGCTGGGGATGAGCAGAGACCACAGAGCCGCGGCACAGARCTCACCGCGCGGTCACACGTGTCCGAGGGCATCACATGTGCCAAGGTGGGACTGCCGAGGGTGGGGGAAGCTGTGACTCATCTGCCAGCTGGTTTAAAAATAAACTACTACTGAATCAAAAATGCATGACTTCTGYACACGATGTGCACAGGCAGAAGCTGTCACTACGTGGAAACTCGAGCATCAGCTCYGTGCAGCCAAAGGAAAGCTGGAAGCACGCAGAGCTCCATTTTACATTCCAAAGGTGATGCTTAGAGAGAAGGCATCGCACATGGCCTCGACAGGAACAGATGCCAGAGGTGCTCTGCAATGTGGTAACAAATCCCTACATGGTCTGGGTTGGAAGGGACCTTAAATCCCATCCAGTTCCATCCCCTGCCACAGGCAGGACACCTTCCACTGACCTAGGGTGCTCCAAGCCCATCCAACCTGACCCTGGACACTTCCAGAGCCCACCTGTGCCAAGGCCTCATTACTGTCACTGCCAAGAACCTCTTCCCAATATCCCATCCATCCCTGCTCTCTGGAAGTGGGAGCCATTCCCTGTATCCTGTCCCTCCATCCCTTGTCCCCAGTCCCTCCCCAGCTCTCCTGGAGCCCCTTTAGGCCCCAAAAAGGGCTCTGTGCTCCCCCTGGAGCCTTCTCCTCTCCAGGTGAGCACTCCCAGCTCTCCCAGCCTGGCTCCAGAGCCCTTGGAATCCGTGTGCCCTCCTCTGGACTTGTTCCAGCAGCTCCTGAAGAGAAGAATCGATTTTTCTAATCTGGAATCACCTTAAAACAAGACCATTCCTGCTACCCACAAGCAAACAAAGCCCACAGGACAAAATCACCAAGACCCCAGTGTGCACCCAGCAGGACCCAGCTGCCACAGGACTCCTGCAAGCCACGGGAAAAGCAGTGGCTTTTATTGCTCCCAAACGAAGCAGGAGGGTCCTGGGATGCTGCTGGGTGAGCAGGAGGCAGCTCAGGCAAAGCCAAAGCTGTGTCCTTTGGTAACTGAGGGAAGTGGAGCCATTCCAGGAGCCAGGAGCTGGGTCTGCTTGACCACATACAAACAACTCTGTTTGTTCCACAAATTTCAAGCACAGAGGRCAAATGACATGCTCAAGTGACTTACTCAATATAAGAAGCATGCTGCATACTGGAGACTTGAATTCTGGCAGTCCTTGGAGAAGAAAAATGTTTGGTCAAGTCAGAGGGGGAGCTCCTCTCATCCCCAAGGTATGGAAACAGAGGATTCAAAAGCAGCTGTGCAAAGGCTGAGAGCAAGGAGCAGCCCAGGAGATTAGGAACCAGCCTTGGGGAGGAGGGAACACCTGGGACAGCCTGCCCTCAAGGAGGATCACAGAGCGCGAGCCTGATTCTAGGGAACAGCTATCACACACAGGACTGTGCTCCTCATGCTCATGGGGCTGCCAGCAGGACTGTGTCCCCACCAGTAAAGCAAAATCTGGGGGATAGCCCAGGCCAGGATAACTGCAGGCAGGATGCTGCTGCAAGCTCATGTGGATTTGAGGACAAAGAAGAACCACGAAACTACTCAGTGCAACACTGGTATTAGAGGAGTGATAGGAGGAATGCAACAAGTTTGCACAGAAATTGTAAAAACCACTTCAATTGCCTTGGTGAGCAAATGGATCGTATCCCGGACTACCTGAACCTTAAAGGAATTACATTTCCTAAAGGAAATATATCCTTTCCTGAGGCACCCTACGGACCGACCATCAGGTCTCTGACTCCGTGCCCGCGCTTCGCTGTTTTGTTTCGCGGCTCACACGGAGGTAAAGCACGCAGACACTATTTTAGGTTATTAAATATTTCATTCCACAGTGAGACAGAAGAAGCCAACAGATGGTCACTGTGTAGCAGGGCCTCGCTTGACTTCTGGGGGGAGAAAAGTTCAAGGAAGAACCATGAAAATCTGTTTCTACGAGGAAACATTCCTCTAGTTAGAGGAAGGGAATTACAGGGGAGCTGTTAGTTCCCCTAAAACAGGGAGGCACTGAAACATCAGAGAGAGTATCAAATATCCAAAGAAGCACATCAGAAATGAGTTAATTGATTACTCATGACCCAGGACTTTCTCTGACTCCAGTGGATCCATCCAGCAATGTTGAGCTGCTCTGAGAAGCACCAAGAAGAGCCATATCACCACAGTTCAGATCTCTTTGACAAACTTCTCCCTGCTCCCTCACTTAATCTAGCGTGAAGCATCTTAAGATGTCTGAGACACAAAAAATCCAGTCTGCTGCTTGGCTAATCCAAGCTGCCCAGGGATCCCCATCCGTGCTACGTGGCAGGGCGAGGAACTGGAGCTGCTGGGAGGGAACAGATGCAACATCAGTGCCCTGCCAGCCAGCCTTGGAACATCGAGGCTGATGCAGCACGTGGCACAGGGAGCCTCAGAGCCACTGCTGAAGGAAGGGCCAGCTATCACATCCCCTGCTCATGTGCAAACATCTCACATGGAAGCTCACCCCAGGATTCAGATTCTGAATTCCTGGGCTATTTGCTACTCTGTCCAACTGCACCAAGGGAAATGCAGAATTAGACTGAATAGCTTAGAAAAAGGAAAAAAATACTATTTTCACCAGTTTTTGATGATGACAAGTGAAGCAAGTAATAGATACCCACATACATCCTTTGGGCACTGGCCAGGTAGGTCAGTCCCTTCCAACCTAAGTTTTCCTCTGACTACTACCCAAGAGTAGCACATTAAAAATGTTTATCCTGAACATCCAAGAAGGAAATGACCATTAAAACTCTTCTCATTAGGAAAGAAAACCCTACTTTTTTTTCCCAAAGCTGCAGGTGATGAGCATTTTGACATGTCAGAGCTCACAGAGGCCATGTGGCTGCACACGCAGTCGAGGGGATAAAGCAGCTCCTGTGGTGTCACAGCCAAGCTCCCTCTGCTCCCCCTCCTTGGGCTAACGGTGGCAGCTTCAGCCAGCCACGTCATTTGGCAGGATTAATTGGCTAATTTATCGAGCAGAATGTCACAMGCAACACTTCTGCTGTTGTCTCTGAGTCATGCACACCATGGATTTGGACACTCTCTGCCTTCGTTTGGCGAATGTACGGCCATTCCAAGTACAACCAGACATCGCTACTGCAAGGTCGAGCTGGCTGTTGGAGTGGTTTGGGAGTAAGGACCATTAAGAGGAGCCTGGCACTGCCAACCTGACTGAGCACAGGCCCCTCCACTGCCCCAAAGTGGGCATGCACTTAGCTCTGATCTGTTTTTCCAGCCAGACACTCTTACCCTAATCCCCAGTGCAGGCAGCAAGTCCAGGCTCCCTGCTCCTGGCAGCCCCACTCCACCAAAATTGGTTTTGCTCTGATTCCAGGATTCATGGTGAGACCAGCAGTGTAGTTCACATCCTCCACTCAAGTCCTGGCTGATTTCCAGTCGTTTTAGCAGAACTGCAGCACAAGAGCTTCTAATGGCATCCAACAGTTCATCAGAGCTGGGCGTGCGATGCCCGGGGGACCACACAGAGAGAGAAGCAGAGTCAGGTTGTTCAGGAGACTCCTCAACATCCTTTGGAAAATGCTCCAAGGCAGGAGATTAGAGATTAGGAAGGAATTGTTCCCTGTGAGGGTGGGCAGGCCCTGGCACAGGGTGCCCAGAGCAACTGTGGTTGCCCCTGGATCCCTGGMARTGTCCAAGGCCAGGCTGGACGGGGCTTGGAGCAGCCTGGGACAGTGGAAGGTGTCCCTGCCCATGGCAACAGGTGGGAATGGATGAGCTATAAGGACCCTTCCCAACCAAACCATTCCATGATTCCATGAATGCCCTGACAGGGCAAGTATTACAGRATGGAAAGTTCATCAGGAACAGGAGAAAACGCGTTAAAATAATTAATCTACCCAAAATAAAGCCATGCTTTCAAATTTTGATCATTCCTTAACCACAYCTTTTATAATTCCTGAACCACATCTTTAAAGAGTGGTAGGATGCCAAGTGCAGAAAAAGCAGACTGGGATTCATTCATGTGTCACAAGACATGTGGGCTGGGGTATCCCAGAAATCACAAGCACCAACAGAACTCCAGCAGGGAGTTCAACTGAGTGCTGTGGTAACGTATTATTATGAAAGTATTTCTGGATGTCCACCAGACATCCTCTGCAAGTGGAAGCTCGGTCCCTTCAGGGAAAACAGGACAAATAAAATCATTAAGTATAAAAAAATTACAGTAACATAGGAAACTTGTCAAAACCCAAAATCAGTATATGATCAAGGCACAGAAGGAGCAAAGAAGCTTGGTGCTTCACAGAGACTTCCTTGGACAGTGGAACAGCCTGCACGAGGCTGTGGAAATTCCTGGCATGGGAAACAGCACATGCTAAAAGCCTCTTCAGGTTTAAAAAAAATCCCCATAAATTCAGAGAAGAAAAATCCAAACATTATTAGTCTCTGTATCAGGGAAATCAGAGACTGTCAGAATAAAAATGTACAAAAAAATTCCACCTTTGACTGATCTTGTTCTCTTTTCCTCATGTTTACTGTAGACCACAGMGGATACTGAGGCTTTTGGACACTCTTATGATTTAACAAGTAAAAATGAAAACAATTTCCTAGGTTTTAAGACTTTAGATCACCTATTTAAGGTGTGTTGCTCTACACACAAATAACTTTCCATMCACTTATGATTCCTATGTTTCACAAACACACTTACAGGGAGCTATTTCCATATCAGCAAATCCTCACTAACTCAAGGCTTAGGTCCACACAATTACCCAATATCATCATTCTCACCCAGTCTCTTCCAAAACTTGTGTGAGGWTAAAAGGAATTGGCTCAGATCCCTAAAGTCAAGTCTGAGTTGCACAACAAATGCGATGGTGATGTTTGATTTAATAAACAAATCCCAGACTTTCCAGAAGCTTAAGGTAAGTTTACTCACCTGCACTTCCGAGTTGTTTATAAAATCTGTATTCTAAATGAAGCTGTGGTGCCCGAGATTTAATTGGTTCCTAGAACAGAAATAAATAAATTGGTTAAAATCAATTTGACTGAAAGAAGTTCTATCCTATACTTGATGATTTGTGCATAATTAGAACAGCCCAGACTGAAAGTCTAACAACAGACCTCACTACTACATGCCATTTAGACAAGAAGTGAAGAAACAGCACTAAGATTTGCTCTCRGGAGGAGAAATAACCTCCTTATTTAAATACAAAGCTCATTCATTGCAGCGAAATTCAAGAATCATTCTGCAAAGCTCCTGGTCCTGGAAGAACGACCCTGGACATTGGCAGAGGTCAAGGAAGTCAAGGTTGCAAAAGCTGAAGCCCCAAGTTCACTCTGTGGGCACTGTGGTTGTCCACAGGGTTTTTGTTGGTCTCTAGACTGTATTTTTGAAAAATGTTGAGTCATACAAGTGTGTTTTAGGTCAGACCACAGTCGTTCACAGCGAGCACCRCAGCGCAGCCAGACAGCTGGGGAAAAGGAAGAAGTCTCCCCCTTCTAGTGGCAGGTGTCAGTCAAACATCTTGAAGTACTCTAGAATATTCTATTTTTATCCTTAAAATACAAAAAAATAAAACAGGTAAGTCTGCAATGCACCCAAACCAGCCCATTTGTCAACTGTTACTCATCCACGCTTTACGCACAAGACTTAATGCCTGCGATCCATCAAGGCATTAATGTGAAAGATTACAGAGCTTCTAAAAATATAAAGTTAATATGGAGAGGATTAAGAGGCTGGAGTAATTACATTTGCAATAAAACTGTGCACTTGGGATAGGCAGGGATGCGGGTTCACTGCCCAGGCAGCCTGGAGATGGAAGTTAATGCTGGTCCTGATTTTTGTTGCTCTCTGGTCTGCACTGTAAGACCGATGTCTACACTGGCTGTGAATGCCAATGTTCTTTTTAAGTGTGGAGAAGGAATTCTGAACAGGAATTCAGGCAATCTGACTTAGAGCTGAGCTGGTCCACAYCAGCTCAAGCCATCCCATCCATTTCCCAGCAAGGGGAATGAAAGCTCCTGGTTGCTTCTCAGTTTAATCACAGAATCACTGAGGTTGGAAAAGGCCTCCACAGTCACTGAATTCCCGATGTTTTAAAGCTCCAGAAGACAAATACGACCAACTACTTAGAAAATAATGTGGAAAAATATTCTGGAGGCAAAACTCAACCTGCACAAAAGGCAAATACAAAGCAACACACAAACAAGTTCATAATATAAGACACATTTAAATTAAGGTAATTGTTGCTGGTGGCTCGAGGGATAGTCTACAGACACCTGCAGAGCACAGGGATTCAGGAACTCAGCCTGTTCAGGGTGCAGTTTATTTATCCAAACAAGTAAAGGGGAAGGACTGATGCAGCAGGACGTGATGCTGTCATGATGAAATCAGAGAAGCAGCCTCAGCCACTTCTGCCTCAGGAGCTCTGGACACTCGCCAGAGACGTGGCAGCTTCTGAGAAGATCATACCAGCACAGATTGTTGTCCTGTAGGCCAAGGGCTTAGGGATGCTGGCAGATGTTGTGTTTGTAGCAAAAATAACTGAATTGCTATTACCTTCTGGAGAAAATCCACAGCTCAAACCAATGGCACGGTGAGAGGGGATGGCCCGGTCCCCGCACTCTGACTGCAGCTGGATGGCACCCAGCTGGCTCCTGCCAGGCAGGAAATCCCTGCTGTGGGCACTCCAGCTCTGAAAACCCTCACAAGAATAAATCAGAGGCCCCTCAYCACGTAAGTCAGCTGAAGAGCATGACCAGGAGCTTCATGGTGACACCACACAAGGCAACACAGGGACCCATCTCCACTGCCRGTGGTTTTCCAAGGTGTAGCCTCAGTCCCAAAAAGAAACCATGAGGCATTAACATGGAATTTCACAGCACGTTCTGATGGGCTCTTGGTATCCATCACGCAATCTCTCAATTTTCCAGCTCTAAGGTTGTGGCAGGAGGCAGGAATAGCTGAGACAGCAGGGYTGCAGTGGCAGAAGATGATCTCACAGCTTGAAGGACTTGCAGCAAAGCTTTGACTCAGTTCAACAATGCAGACAAAAGAAAATGTTGCCCATAAGTACATGAAAAGCAGCTACTCCACCACTTATCTGCAAATTATTTGAAGGATAAAGGAAATAGCAGTTCAGTCCACATGTAAGAGAAGCGCATTTGCTGATGAGGAGGCTGAGTTATTCTTATTTCTGTGGAATTCTAAGATTAGGAGACCAAGAAACCCCCATTCCTCCTACTGTTCTCTCCTTAAACTCCAAAACAGAGCAGGTGTGTGGACAGCTGGATGTCCAATGGATGGCATTTCCAGCCCTTCACACAAGAAGGTCCTGAGATTTTTAAGCCTGGATCACAAGAGGGCAAATGAAATTGGAGTGTGTTGCAGAGTAACTGCTTTAACACTCAGTTATTTAAAAAAAAAAAAAAAAAGTAAGAAAAAGAGAAGGAAGAATGTGACCAGAAAAACAGGTTCAGATTGAGGAAACCAAGAGACAATGTCATTGAGTCCTGCCATATGGAAAAGCTTCAGGTTACTGGGAGGTGTCACTGCAGYCACTTTTTTGAGAGGAAAGCACCCTTTGGCCTAGTAAAGCTCTGTTTTACCTGGATTACAACTTCCTTATGGTTTCCAATGCAACAGCTTTGCAGGATAATCTTTGGAAGCAAATTAGAAGCATCACTGACTCAATAAAACRCCTCATCTGTGTACACAGCACATCATCTATGGCCTAAAAACCAACAGTTCCACTTCCTGATGTGGATCCATATTGAAGGCATCTCATATGGAGCCAGGCTGGGAGAACCCGGGGGGTTCAGTCTAGAGAAGAAGAGGCTCTAGGGAGAATTCAGAGCCCCTTCCAGGGCCTAAAGGGTCTCCAGGAGAGCTGGGGAGGGACTGGGGATAAGAAATGCCAGAACAAGGGGGAATRGCTTCCCACTGYCAGAGGGCAGGGTAGATGGACACYGGGATGAAATTGTTCCCTGTGAGGGTGGGGAGGCCCTGGCACAGGGTGCCCAGAGAAGCTGTGGCTGCCCCTGGATCCCTGGCAGTGTCCAGGGCCAGGCTGGAAGGGGAAAATGGAAGATATCCCTGGTGTTCCACAATGGCAGGGGGTGGAATGAGATGGGCTTTAAGATCCTCCCCCAGGAAACCCAAACCAGTCTGGGATTCTGTGTTCCTGAACTCCTCTTCAGGCATTTATTTATTTACTTTAGGGAACATCTTCTGACATTTGCCAACAGGCGTGAAAACAAGTCCCTCCTGAAATGCTGTAATTATTTTTCATACATTGTAAGGGAAGTGCCAGAGATGAGGAATCTGGGGCACTCAAATGGGATCACAACTAATGCACCAAGTCCATCCTGATTCTGTGTCACCTGAGTGACCCCGGTCATTGTGCTACACAGCAACAACTGGGCAAACCAGACGGTTTGCTGCAGTATCAAATCAGCACCACAACTTTAACTTCATATTTTAGGGTTTGGATCCTGATTAAAGAGTGTTTGGATGAGAACGCAGCACATCAGGTGAGGACATTGAATCTGAAAGCCCAAGAGACTAAGGAAAGCCTGAATTGATACAGACAGGAAAAGCTAAGGCCTAAAAACAAACTGATSGGCTGTGAGTTGACAAATGCAGAAGAGCTCCAAGTCAGGGAGTTCCCCATTCCCCAGATTCCACAGATGAGGAGACTGTATCTGCAATCCACAGCAGCCAGAGGAAAGACTGACCTTCCCCAAACTGGATCTTGTTTTGCCTGTTGCACCTGCAATCTCAGAGCATCGTACCAGACCGAGCTGTGCTCTGCTGCCCCAGGGAATTTGAACCACAGGAACACCCTCCTTCCTGGCTCTCAACTCTGAGAACATGGACCCCCTCAGCACCATGCCCCTAACCAAACACTGACAGCTGCACAGTCTGTGCAGTCCTGAAAGGAAAGGCTYGAGCCGTGGAGCAGGAAGAGGTGGCAAACCCACTACCAGTGACCTTCAGTGSAACCTGGGCAGAGGAACAAGGCTCTTGCTGCTGTAAGACAGCTAGAGACCATTTATGTACCAAAAAAACTTCAGCAGGTGGAAGGATGGGTTCGTTCCCTGCTTTTAGTGCTTTTAAGAACTTWTCTCAGTTTTAATAAGTCATTCCCAGCTAACAGTGAGAGCAGCACTGAGCCCAAAGCGAGAAACTTGGTTTTAGTCTGAATTTTTAACATGAAGTACAAGTCATTTAAGGACACCTGAAGCTTCTACTTACCAGTTTGATCGCTACATATTCATTGGTGTAGAGATTTTTACCTGCAAAGGGAGAACAAAAAAATCTTTAAGTTCCACACTGAATGCTTACAGCTCGAGGCACAATGAGGAAGAGTGACACTGATGCCCAAGGGCTGTTTTCCCACTTCCCCCTAAAGTTTCTGCCTTTAACAAGGTATAAACCTCAAAATAATCAAAAGAATGAACAGTTTGCAACAGCTCAGCAGGGCAGGCAAACACCACCTTCCACTCACACACACAAGGTAATTGTGTTCCATGGCAGCACTTTTGCTCCGTGCACGTGTTACAGGAGGAATCCCAGCCACAAGGTTTCACTATCTACATCATGCCAAAATAGTCTAGGGAATGAAAAATGAAGAGTCAGAGCATCTCTGTTTCTGGAAATGTCTTGGATCTGCTGGACACTGAACAATTTCATCCTGGGGATGTTTCACCAGGTTGATCACGCTCTGGGAAGCACCAAGGGCAGGAGCGTGGGATGAGCACACCCAGTTGAGCTCACATGCAGCTCCTGGTGCGCTGAGCCGGAGCTGGGACCYGTGTGTGCTGCAGCTGCAGGGGGATTTTCCTCCAGAAGCCTGTCTGGTGTTTGGAGGCAGCCCTGGGCTCCTCAGCGATCCGAGGCAGCGATGCACAGCTCTGTGTCACAGAGCATCTCCCCTGCCTGCTGACACTGCCAGTTACTCCATCACTCAACATCCTCCGCCGCCTCTGCCAGGGAACTCGAGCAATCACTCCCCCTCCACCTTCACACAGCTCATGCCTGACAGCAAACTCTCCTGGAACAGATGCCACTGGGAAGGACATTGGGGCAGTCCCTGGACTGTCAGACACCTTCCTGACCTCCTCCAGCCTCACTGTCTCCTTGGAGGAGGGAACCCCACCACAAAAGCTCCCTGTGGATTTATGCAGGGAAGTCTTGACCTTTACTTATCGCTTCCACAGCACGAGTCATGCTTTTACTGAGCAACTCCAAAACTCAGGAGCAATCCACGGTGGAAGTTACCAGGGCTTATATGCAGCATCAGCTTTGCCCTGCTCTGTTACTCATTTATTTTCCAATTCCTGTAATGGATATTGATGCTTGGACAGTCCAGCTCTTGAGAAAGCCCAGGACAGGGAGTGACATCATTCAGGGCAGGCACGAACTGGAGCAGCTCTTCTTTATCCATATGGCAGCATTAGAAAACATGCCATGTCTTCCTCAGCACGTAGCTACAACAGCACTGGGACACTCAATAAAATTAAAGACATTATGGACACGGAAGAAGACATACAATCATCTTTAAATCCCTGGAAGTGCCCARRGCCAGGTTGGATGGGGCTTGGTCCAGTGGCACKTCTCCTCCTTTKCTGAACCCTTCCAGGGATGGTGACCCCAACACTTCCTTCAGGAGGCTGTTCCAACACCCAGCCACCATTTCAGAGAGGAAGTTTTTTCTTAATATCCAGCCTGAAYCTCTCCTGGTACAACTCGTGGCCATTTCCCCTGTCCTATCAAATGCTGAGTTTTGTGTTCATCTCAGCCCATCTCAGTCCRAGGGCTGGAACCCAACTATGCTGCTCCCACGTGCTCAAGAACAGTCACATCTTTGGGTGACGTATATTTTCAGGAAGAAGGATAAACCTTGAGCGGCAAGCTGGATATTTACATCAAATAGCTTCTATAGGTAAGTGCCATCTCYTCCCTGAATAGTCAGTCCTTGATAYYAGAGCGGTTTAAACTGAAAACACAACACCTGGAGAAAGAGAAATTCTTCAGGGAACTGAGAAGTCTATTTCCTCCTTGCTTATCAGTGTGTGACTTTGTTCTGCCTGTGATATTGGTGCTTAACTGCTCTGCAACCACATAAAAACGGCAAAAAGCAGAGGGCACATCATTCATCTTCGCAGGACAAAACTGTTATCAGAGACTTGTGCGCTCGGATTTCAGCCGCTGCTTCTCCTTCCCCCCAGCGATAATTACCATGGGCTGTGCAGGAGAAATAGCTGCTATTTGAGCAAACAGCAGCTCTTAAAGTGATAGTGACTGGCAAAAAGCAAGAGAAAGGGAAAAAAAACAAGAGTAATACAGCTTCTGTAAGGACCTTACAATAAATTGTTGTTATCAGTGTGGCTCATTGCCTACATTTTTAGTAAACTCACATTAACAATACAAGTATTATTAAAAATATAGTCACTCAATTAGCAGGAGTTGCATTTCCATATTTAAAACTGAATTTCWCTGTAAACTGACATTTTCAGAAGTGAAATCTCTTCTGTAAAGTCCATACCATAAACTATATATGAGTCACCTAATACCTATTGTCAACCTAATAGTCAACCAAGTAAAATTTTGAGAAATGCAAAAAAGAATCATGGAAACAGGAGCTGCATCCTCCCAGTGTGGGCAGTGGGAGATTCTGCCTCTCTGTCCCACTCAGGTGAGACCCCATCTGCAGAGCTGCCCCAGCAGACATTTGTTGTTGGGGGGACTTTGAGAATACAACAGAGCAATTCAYGTCATGTCACTGTAAAGATCCAAATTTATCTTTAGCTGCCTGTTATACTCATGTGCAGGAAGCTTGGAGTTTCTGTCCTTGTCCTTGGTTTTGCTACACCTTTGGAGCATTGTCTCTGCTTGGGTGAATCAATAAAACTTCTCTGATGCAGTGCTGAAACTAAAACACCCATTTCCTGAGACACACCAAAAGTGAGCTGGCTGATGTTCACACCGTGCAGCAGCCTGTGCAATAACCCAACCTTAGAGTGGCAGATGACACAGATTCATTTAGGATGACAGATTCTGAGCAGGAATCTACAAAGATACTATCAGTAGTGTCGTGATACTTGAGTTATGTGAAGCAACACTGGCTGCTTCCCCCGCTTCATTTAGAACACAACCATTGTTTAAGGTGATTCAAGAGCTTAGTGCACCGCTCTGCATTGGGCTCCCAAGTCATCCTAAACAAACAATGCATTAGTGGAACCATCTGTTTGGGCAACCAGCTGCAAGACGTGGTCAGGAGACCAATGGACCATGAACAAATGTGGAGCTGCCAGGACGGCTGAGGGAGCCAGATGGCCACTCGGCACATCCTGCTCCTCRCAAACGAGTCCTACACACAGACAGAGCAGGGAGAGGGTGATGGGGCTGAAATTAGGGCAGTGRGGTTAGAGAAGGATGTGGAATTGAGTCTGAGTGCTGGGGAAGAGTCTCACCCATCCCTKTAAAAGGGCATTCTAGCTTACAAACAAAAAATTGGGAGCAACATTTAGCAATTTTCTTTCACCTTAGGCAAGGCATTCAGTGCTGAGAACAGTCTTCGTTCGTTGGGATTGTTAAAAATTTGCATCTTTGGCCTCTGCAGTGTATTCCCTTTGACTTTATGCAAATCAAAATCACACCAAGAGTTATTACATCTTCTGAGTCAGAAGCTCCAAGTAAGGCAGCTTGATACTTGGGAAACAAGACAMGYRCACGYGTTTCTCGAGCCAGAGTAAGTTTTYAYGTATTTATATTCCACTAGWGAAATACTAATTYGCATAAYRCAGGCCACTAAAAYGCTTACTTCTTACCTAGTCTGAGTTCTCCAAAGTTCCCACACCCAATCTTCTTGCCCACTCTGAAGTTGGGTCCCACCATAAGAACACCAGAGGACGTTGATGAGCTTGGCCGAGAACCGTGCCCGCTCCTTCCCGGCATTCCTTTCGTCGTCCGCTGCCTTTCATCCTTATCCCTACTAGGATGGTCCATGATCTTAGTGAAATACCTCTGCCAGCAAGCTGGCAGAAAGGAGTTGGAGTACACACTCTTCTTCTTAGAACAGAAATTTATATCCAAAAGTATCTGCGTCGGGGGTCAAGAGAGTCATGGAAACTCATGGAGTTATTTTGGCACCAGATCCAGTTTCCTAATGCATCTTGATAATGTACCAAAGGGTCGATTGTGTTCTTGAGAACTCAATAAAGGCAGGTTGCTTTTGGTTTCTTACCTGGGGAGAGATATATGAAATAAAATCATTATTTTAAAATACCAAGTGAGAAAGATACAAGAGGGCCAATATCCAGAACTTTCCTGGCCTCTGGAATTACAGGAATTTAACAGTTATACGAGAACTTTATCATTTTCTTAACAGTCTTCTGATAAAAAGCTCTGATATCATGAAGAAATTTAAGTGCTGCCCATCCACTGTTGCTACTTGTCTCATCCTTGGAAGTGTCCAAGGCCAGGCAGGGTGGGGCTTGGARCGACCTGGTCTAGTGGAAGGTGCCCCCACCCACGGCAGGGGGTGCATCCAGCTGAGTTTTCAAGATTCCTTCCCTCCAAACCAGTCTGTGATTCCATGATTCCCCTGGAGTTATCAGGACTGACACGCACACAGCAACCAGAACCATTCCAACCACAGCAGCATGTTAGGTGGACACGGCGAAGAAACTGCATCCCACCTTTAAAGCCCCATGAAGTGGAGGTTTGGTTTCTTCTCACTCCATACATTTATATATACATATATACATGAAAGCCAGACAAAAAATACAAAGGGGCCAATGAAAGGTGCCAAGAGAAGCAATTTTTGTAGCACTTAAATAAAATCCTCCTTTTTTTTACCTCTTTTCAAATTGGTCTAGATTATCCCGAATAACCTAAGTTGGAAGGGACCTACAAGGATCATTGAAGTCCAACTCCAAATCTACCTGAGATGTATTTGTTAATTCAAACTGCTGTCCTGCAGAGATGACCAAAATGAGGAACCAAAGCACGATAAACTATTTTAAAAAAAGGCTGGTAACWCAGTCAAAAGGGGACAAGATGCTTCTCAACCCCTGCAGACCAAGTGGTTCTTCCATGCTCAGGAACAAGCCCAAAGGAGACTGGCAGGAACTGCATGGACACAGGAGGTCCTGCCCCACAAGTGCAGTCCAGAGGTACCAGTGGGGYGGTTGAGCTCCCCCTCACTCCCCAAGAAACCAGTACGATAAAGGGAAAGGCTGAAGGATGTTTTGTCTGCACAGGTGCTGCATCAGGAGATGGTATCAGGCACTCTGGTCGTGCAGGTCTCAAGCAACAATTAGAATAAACGTATCTGGAATGACACCCCCACAYCCCAGAATCTAAAGGTACTGGACTGTAGCCCTACAGGAGCACAGCTGCATTCAGGTTTTCCAGATGTGAATGGAATAATGCCTGAATAATTTTACCAGCAAGTTTGTTTTTTTACCACAAGGTTTGTGTCCTACTTCTAATGCTTCCACAATCAGCACAGAAGTCTCAGTGCTCAAACCACCCAACCAAGAGCCCTGCAGAAGGAYACCCAGAAACACAACCACATAAACGAGGGCTCAGAAGTTACTCAGGCAACTGGCTCAGTCCTCCTGCAGCAATACCTCTGCAGAAGGCTTAGCACGAGTTCCTTCTGTTCCTTCCTTCTTTCATTTTGCCGGCTACGCATTCAGGTTGGAAAAGGTCTCCAAGATGATCAATCCATAATTCAGTGATGATCCTCTAGTCCACCAGAGGATGAAGCTGAGTTAYCTTCATCTAGTTACCCAAAGACAAGGATTATTACCCATCCACAAGGAACAGAAGCATGAGCTGYTCTAAAATCTGAGTGTGCTTTCCCTGGCCTCCAGCTGAGGAACACTTCTGTTTCTGGAGACTTTTTGTTTGACCTAAAGCATCTGGATAGAAGGCAGAAGTCACTCATGCTGGACCCAGAGAACACAGGGAGCTACCCGCTGGAATACAGAATCACAGAATMCCAGAATGGTTGGTTGGAAGGGACCTTAAAGCCCATCTCATCTCATTCCAGCCCCTGCCATGGCAGGGACACCCTCCAYGGCCCCAGGGTGCTCCGGGCACTGTCCAGCCTGGCCTTGGGCACTGCCAGGGATCCAGGGGCAGCCACAGCTGCTCTGGGCACCCTGTGCCAGGGCCTCCCCACCCTCACAGGGAACAATTCCTCCCTAATATCCAATCTACACATATCTTTTCAGCTGAAAGCCCTCTTATCCTATCACTTGCTGCTCTTGCCACACACCCCTCTACAGCCTTCCTGCAGGTCCTCTTTAGGCAGTGCAATTCTTCCTGTCACTTGGGACTGCTGTGGATCCCTGCAGAAAACGTCACACAGCCCATCTGCAGCACATCCAGGTGGTCTGATAATCACCAGGTCACCTGAGAACCTCCATGCCACAGCCACACTACCAGTTTGGCCATAAACTGAAGTGACAAGCTCCCAACGTGCTCCCAAGCAAGGTGTGAAACACCATCTGCAATTCAGCACCTCCGGCCTACACAGAAGAGCTGGCCAYGTTCATGTGTAAGAAATTATTTAGCATTACCAAGCTTTACTTGACCCTCAAATTAATTCCAGATTTAATACTCAGAGCAGAACATGGATAAGCAGGAAGCATCCGTTACCAGTGAACTGGCTGAACTGGTTTTTCATCACAGACATCCCCATGTACTCTCAGCTGCTCGGTGCAGACACAGCACAGTGAAACCAGTCTGCAGCAGCAGCGATGAGGCTCGATCAGATATCAGAAAATCACTTTGCACCTCACCCCAGGCTGTCCCAGGAGGAGACACTGGCTTCAAAACAAACAACATGAAGAAGAACCATCGGTGAAACGACAGCATTTCACTGCTGAAACTCAAACCAAACAGGAGAATGATTTCTAATAGCTGGCGGATCTACTCGCACAGGTATTTCTGATAAAATTTTGGAAAGATAAAACTGACACACGGGACATTTTGGTCTGTCTATAKGGTCTATCTCTGCTGTGGCAGGAGAAGTAGACACAGAACATTGCAGCCAAGTGTTGCTTCATATGATAGTTAAAGCTATCATTTCCATGTAGTAAAACATGTGGGTGTGGCACTGGGGACATGGCTTCGTGATGGACTTGGTGATCTCAGAGGGCTTTTCCCACCCAAAAGATTCCATGATGCTGGAGTGTTCCTAGGGCTGGATTACCAAGAAAGATGAGCAACACAGGAACTTCATGAGTAAAAACCAGTAACACTTTGGAAAACACACTCGACCTGACCAAAGCCAGAGAAGAATTTTTTCCCCCTGGAGATGAAAGTCATTATTTTAATCAAGGCTGAATAATTTATGACCAAGAACTACCTACAATCTCAGAAATGGAAACAGAAAGAAATCCCCAGCAAGAGCACAAACCATGTCCAGTTTATACCTTGCTCAGCGCATCTCAGATGGGACAAGCAACTCCATTATGCTCAGGCAAATTAAGCACGCAGTCTCACCACACATTTTCTGGCTCACAAAATAAGATGTTAATGGTTACGAGCTCCTATGGCTCTGTCCTTCCCCCGCTCCCCATCTGGATCAGGTCTCCCTAGGGAGAAGGATGGAAAGGTCATGCCTGACAGTCTGCAAACACTAAACATCCTCTCTCTGCTGAAAGCCTCCTGCAAACAGGAATTCAGAGCAGCAATGGATGAGTGAACCACGCCTCTGAGCAGCTCTTTATCACAGCCAGGCTGAGGAGCAGTGCCTGGCTGCCGGCACACCGGATCACACAAAGATTTCACACCATCATTACCACCTTCTGAAAACAACAGTAGTAAATACAGCATCAAAAATGGCCTTGGAGGACCAGCACAGCACTRGGCTTTGGAGGGGAAGTGGCAGAACAACGAAGATCAGACTGTCAGTGACATTAATATTTAAAGGCTGCTCAGATCATRAGATGACTTCCTGCCACGATTCAAACTTTTCTATAATGATTTTCCTTCCTACCTTTCCACCCATTCAGCAAGATTGCTCCTCCAAGTTACTTCCATTTGAACAGAGCTGGATGAAGATATTTCCCTAATGGTGACTCAGCCCAATTCTGAGATTGATTTCACTACAACACAGTTGGAGACACAGGAACAGTTATTTAATGAAAGACACAGGAGTGAAAGGAAATTACTTGCAGCACAGTTAGTTAAGTAAAAAACAGTAGCTCTGTRTCCTACACCCTTCCAAACACTCAGACCCAAACCTAAGTCATGACCTCACCTCCCTTGATAAACCTGAAGCTCTAGAGCTACAAACCAGCTTCTAGACAGAGTTAAATCATGGAATGGTTTGGCTTGGAAGGGACCTTAAAGCTCATCTTGGCTATGGGCAGGGACACCTCCCACTAGGGCAGGTTGCTCCAAGCCCTGTCCAGCCTGGCCCTGCTGTTTGTGTGGAGATCACAGTACAAGGCAAAGCAGTGTTTGATAAATGGCACAGACATTGCCCACAGCCATGCAGTGTCCGGGGGAGCCCTTCAGCCCGAGAGCAGCCAGAGAAAAGGACAATGGAAACACGAGGTTGGTGTAAAGAAGCCAAAGCCATATTTGTTCACCCTCTTCAAAAGAAAAGCTTGCTTCCCATCACTCAAAACTTGACTTCCTTCAGTTACTCTGAAGACCTTTCCATGACAGGAACAAGCTTTATCAAAATCTTGGTTTGTGGCAGTTCCAGAAATCTGTCCAAACTGAAACAGGCAATGAACTCCATTTTGTTCAAATTGAAGCAAGCAGGTCTGGTCCAGGTCKGTGTGTGGTTCTGATCCCTGAAAGATGCCACAAATAAAACGGCAAATGCCTGGTGGATGAAGCAACACTCTAAAATAATAGGAATTCAGTGCCGTAATTCCTTTTTCCTTCTTTTAAGAAGAGACYTCCAAGAAAGCCCCATTTTGTGTTGAGATGGGTGATCTCACCCACTCTCTACAGACACAGGACCACAATTCTTCAAAGCAGCTCCGAGATCATTGCTTTAGGACAAGGCACATGTCTTCCCTCTGGCTTTTCCAACATCCACCCCACATGCCTGTGTAATATGTCTGGTAAGTCTCCTGATCTGGAGAGCGCTTTCAAGACAAGATCTTGTACTTCCCACATGACTTCAAAGAGCAGCAAATCCTCCAGGGCTCTCAACTGACATGTTATAAACCCACAGATATGAGCTCACCAGCTTCCACCCTCACACTG